AGCACTGCTGATTCAAAGTGATAGAACTGCAGTTTCCCTCAATCTGGGTTTTCTACTGGGGTTATTTTACTGCTGATTTCAGATTGAACCAGAAGCTGGAGTTGAGATGTTGCTCCACTCCTAGCATCAGAGCAACACAGCTGTTGTTAATATCTGAATTTGTTCCTCACTCAGTACATATACCGAGTGCTCCTAGGCTGACCCTCACCTGTAACAGTAAGGTGTTACCGGCTGCACAGCACTTATAATTTGTTTCACAGGTTCGGATCTGTACCCACAAAGACACGTTCACGCTTTTCCTAGCTTATAAATGATTTAATAATGATAATAATCATAAACATACATGCACATAAATGTGATTACATATGATTATACAATCTTAGAAACAAAGACTATTAACAGAAAGATGAAAAAGAAATAGATCACCAATCCGAGGAAGCACCAACTCCTGAACATCTGGCTGGGAGAGCCCTGTATCACAGCCATTAGGATCTTAGTTGGGGAAGTCCCTGTGGCAGAGCCTCCTCTCTGAGGGGAGACTCCCCAAGTCCCTTTCCCAAGAGAGACCCTTTTTAATCATCCTTACACAAAGAAGGCAGGGAGCCAAAGAAAGGTGAATGATCTTAAGGACCTGAGAGTTTTGGCCAAAACCTCTGACCTCAAGAACAATCTTTATTATGTCAAAAATGTCTTGGGTCAATACCCAGGAACTGGCAAAGTCCCTGGATGTTTACCTCAAGACCTGTTTTTAAGGAATAGTTCCCCAAAGTGGGTCTGGGTTGGAACAAATCCCAGAACAATACATTAGGGAAGTTCCTTGTCCCATGGCTTAGGCTGTGGATAGGAAAGATCTTATACATTAACCCTTCATCACTCTAGAATGACACCCTTAGGCAAAGATCCCCTCCTCAGTAATATTCTACATTTGTGACCCAGAACTGAGTCATGAGTAACTGACCTGCCAGTTATGCCTTGTTATGAGTCTGACTGGGATCTCTTCTTGCTTTTGGGCATAGCTTCAGTCCTCTCTCAGTTCTTGTGTGCCAGAATGCTGCATGCCTCTGGCCAGATCTATTCCCTAGCGTCCTCAGACCTCTCTATCTCCCAATGCTGACCTGGGCTGGAAAAAATAATTGATTTTTTTCTTGGATTTATCTATCCATATTTGATCTGGTGTGTTTTTTAGATCTTTACTAGAAGAGGTATGTGGGAGAGTTCTGCTGTCAAGAAGTCAAGAAGGTTGAGGATGGAGGAAAAATCATTCTATTTGTTAATAAATACATCTTTGGTGGCTTCAGGAAAAAAAAGTCTCAACCAACTGATGAAGTCAGAAGCCAGATTACAGAAGGTTTTGGAAAGAAGTGAGAGAAGAAGTGGAGACTGAATGTAGAAGGCTTTTTCAAGGCATTCAAAGGGCAAAGGAATATAGGGTGATAGCTGCTAGCTACTGGGCATGGTAGGCTCTTGAGAGAGTTTTTTGAGGATGAGGAAGACCTCAGCATCTAAGAGGAGCCAGTAGGTAGGAGATTGATAAGAGAGAAAGTGAGGTTGATAGTGGGGGAAGTTTGCTGGAGAAGATAAGAGATGATAGGATAGAGGGAGCATTTAGAGGGTTTGACCTTGACAAGCAGAAAGACCAATTCATCAGAGACCACAGTGAAGGAAATATTAGGGGGATGATGTCAGTAATGTTAGATGAAGAGGAGAAGGGCAGGAGAAGAGGGAGTGCTGGTGAACTGCCTCAGTTATATTCAGTTGAGTATGAGGCAAGCTCTTCAGCTAATAACAGGAGAGCAGAGGGTGCTTAGGGTGAGATGTGAAGCAGGAACAAAGACATAATTTGAAACATGCTATGGTGAGTGAGAGAGTGAATCAGGACTTCTTAAAGTGGACAGTCCAATTAAGATTAACTAGCATTCATTTTTAATAAACCCGGTGAACTTAGTTTCATAGTTTCCTCTAGTTCCGTTCAGTAGCACATGAGTGGGAGAGGAGGATGCTACGAAATTATTCTTGTTTATGATTACCACCACTATAAATAGGCCACACCTATCTACATAAAGTCAAGTCTTTTAAGTTGTACGTAGTTTTTTTAGCTTTTCTTCCAGTTTTGATCCTAAAGAATCTCTTAAAGTGACTAACTTGGTTATTTTGTTTTTGTATGGGTGTGGATAATAAGCAAGTTAAACTAAAGATCTTAACATAAAATAGCAAATTTTACCTCATAGATATTACTGAAACTTGGTAGATTAGACCTTTGAGTGGAATATGGCTCTGAAAGTATATACCTATTGAAAAGAAACAGGAAAAGTGAGGTGTTATAGAATGGAGATGTATATAAGGGATTGAAGATAAAAGAGAAAATCTAGGAGACAGGGTGAAGGCACATGGTAGTTTGATAGATATAGAAAGAAGCAGTATTGTCATCAGACTATACTGAGAATCACTTAGCATAGAAATAAGTGGGAAGTTCAGGATACAGATTATGAGCCTAACAGTGGCTGGTGCCAGCAGTGATGGGGAAATGTTAATTTTCTAGACATCTGTTAGAGTTCTTGGTAACTTAATAACAATTTCATCTTTCAAAAGGTAGAGGTGACAAAAAGGGTTTTATTTTTTTAATTTTTATTTATTTATTTATTTATTTTTGGTGAGGCAGTTGGGGTTAAGTGACTTGCCCCAAATTGCACAGCTAGTTGAGTGTTAGGTGTCTGAGGCTGGATTTGAACTCAGGTCCTCTTGACTCCAGGGCCAGTGCTCTATCCACTACGCAACCTCACTGCCCCCAAAAGAGATATTTTATGCTGCTTTTCACCAGTAGAGAGGACCTAGTTGCTTAGGCTGAAATGATGAAAACTTTGGGGAAAATCAACCATTCCGTCTTAAAGTTTGTAATAGAGGAGAGGAAAACTGGGCTGAGTATGATATATAGCCTGGAATTGGGAGAATAGATTTGGAAGGGCTCAGAGAAAGAAAAGGAATTTTGCCCATATATATATATATATATATGCATATATAGCTGCTTATATGCATATAAATGTATATGTATATACACACATGCAATATACAAGTGAGATATATGTGTGTATATATTAGGGACACATCCATGTGCCTTGAGTAGATTCTTTTAAATCTGGTTACTAACCATTTACTAGTAATTCCTATGTGTATGCATGTATGTGTGTATGATTTTTTTTTTTTTACAATTTGTCACTTGGTTATATACAGTCCTCTGTTTTGTGTATGTAATGATGTGATGATGATAATGATAGCTCCCATTGGTTGTATAAATACATAAGTAAGGGAGGTGATCTAGCAGAGTAGATAGAGGTTAGCCTTGGAATAAAGAAGACCTAGGTTCAAGTACTGCCTCTGATATGTTTCAGCTGCCTGACCATGGGTGACAATTTCTCAGGTCCCTAGGCAACTCTCTCAAAGACTATAAATTGTCACTATGGAGAGAATGTCCATACTAACTGTTCCCTACATCAGTGAAATCACATATAGGGGAGATGAATGTCTGTCTCCAATCTTTATACATGCACATACACCACAGATTTATTAGATGGATGTGTATGTTTATGCATGTGTATGTATATGTATATATACATCTACATATGTGAGTATATGTGTGTATGCATATAGGTATATAATGTGGCTGTAGATTATTGCCATAAGTATTTAAATACAAGGAAGATTATTGTGCTTTCAAGTAGATGATAAATTTTCATGGAGAAATAGGTGTTAAATTGAAACTTAAGGGATGGACAGTATTGAGAAAAAGGAGGAAAACATTCCAAATCAGGAGTTTGATTTGGGGTTTGTATTGCCAGATAATGGGAAATAAAGTAGTAAAATAAGTGGTGATAAGTTTTGTTTTGCTCTCAGTGACCTGGTAATTGACAAATTACTTTGAAAAAAATCAATGATATTGAGTACTGCAACTACATGATATAATGAGATAATACTGGAATTATGTAATGTATGTGTATGTGTATGTGTATATACACATATGCAGGTGTGTGTAGATTATTGTTTAACAACCGGTTTGGGGCTAAAAGTACAAATGACACATTTAAGTTTACTCTTCACTATTAACATTTTCTCCACCACTTTTTAAAGTCTAATCAACAAAACAAACAAACCAAGCTCTGATGTGTAACATTTGAGTGTTTCCAAAGTGAAAATGCTCATACCCAAAATTTAACAATGAGGGAGAAGTGGTTAGAGTTGATTCTAGCAACCCTAAATATATATCAGCTTATAAGGTTTACTTTCACCTGATTATCAACACAAGGAATGACATTTATCTTGTTGTGTAATTAGTAACTTAAAGAAATTCTAGTCAGATATCATTATGTCCTTAGAATATGAAGCATGTTGGTAATTACTTTTGAAATTGTTATTTCTGAGATATAAGAATAATTATCTGTTCTCAAATTAGAATGGAGTGCTAAAAAACAGTAAAACAGATTTTTCCTGATTACTTTTAATTTGTGATGTTCTTATATCATTTGAAAATTTATGATATCTGTAATGTATAAATATACATGCATACACATGTACATGCATGCACACACACATATACACGTGTACGTATACATATATACTTACAGATGTATACATGTCTATATTTACCTGCATTCGTGCATGTGTGTGCGCACGTGTGTGTGTGTGTGTGCACGCGCGAGGTGATGCAGTGAATAGAGTGCCTGAAGTCATGAAAGCTCATCTTCCTGAGTACAAATCTGGCCTCAGACATTTACAAACTGTACAACCCTGGACAAGCAACTTAACCCTGTTTACCTCAGTTTCCTCATCTGTAAAATAAGCTGGAGATGGAAATGGCAAACCACTCCAGTATCTTTGCCAAGAAAATCTCACATGGGATCATTCTGAAGAGTTGGACATGACTGAACAACAACAAACTTTTACGACTCATGCCAGATTATTTTGTTTCTTAATTTGAATTTTTAATTACAACTGTACAGCAGACCATTTTATTCTTGCATCTTTTCAATGGTTCCTTCTTTATATTTGCCCTTCTCCTTTCCAACTTGTCGGGATTTGGCTTTACTCTCAAGAATTTTTTTTCTCTCTTTATCCAGCTTTAGTCTGGTGATAACTACCTTACTAGGGTGAATGCCCACATGGACAGTTTTGCCATTAGCTTTCTCATGCTGCACACCCTCAATGTAGATGATGCATTTCTTTCTGTAAACCTGTACTACCTTGCCAATTTGCTGACCTTTGTAGTGTCCACAAACCACCTGATCCAAGTCGTCCTTCCTCATGGGCATTGAGTATTTCTGCCTCAGCTCCTTGGAGAGTGGGGACGACTTGATCTTGTGCTGGATATGTGAGGGTGCATTGAAGTGTCTCTTGCGGTTCTTGTTTCGGTCTGAGGTCACGAATGGATTAAACTTCATTTTGGCAAGCGGGACCACCTGAAAAGAGTCATGCCAGGTTATTTTGCTTGGTACTAGAAAACAGAGTTAGTACCAGTAGGTAGATGTTAAAGGGTGTTAAATTAGGAAGAAAAATTGCCTGAGAATTACAACTGTCCAAAAAATAGAATGGGCTATCTTCAAAGGTAGCGCTTCATGACTGAAACTATTCAAACAAGGGATGGATGATCACTTGTAAGAGATTTTGTAGGAGGGTATCCATGTTTTAGTTATAGGCTGTATAAGTAAAGTAAAATATCTTAGAATTCTTAAGATTCTGTAGTTCTGTGGATTTCTCCAAATTCATTGAAGTACTAAGCACATCAAATAGTTAGGCTGTGTCCATGAATGAGCTCTGCAAATAAATTTGTTCATGCCTCATTACTTCATCACCACCAGCTGTGTCCCCTAGATTGGAAGGGGGAGCCATGGACTTCCAAATCTCCATTTAAAATCACAACATGTGAGTCCTGCCCTAAAGAATTAGACCTAAATCTTCTTTCAGCCAAAGACAAGGTTTATTAGAACATCCTCCATATTGGCCAGATTCTTAAGGAGTCTGAACGTTAGTGAGATATTGGCTAGATTTTAAGAACCTGAGCACCTTAATGGAGACAAGATGAACCTTATATACAAAGTGTGGGAGAGATCTAGGAGTGGCCAAGTGGTCTGAGGGGACTGTGAGGTAATAGAATGCCAGGGACCTGGGCCAAGTGGCCAAGGGAGAAAGAAACCTAGCTAGGATTAAAGGTGGCAAGTGGCCAGGGGCCATTGGGAGGTGAGACGATGAAGGTCTAGGCTAGGTTAAGGGTAACAGAGATTGGGAGATTGGGTGTAGCCACAATGAAAGGTCAGTTGATGGGATTATAGCCTCTGGTGAGGAGATTTGGCCATGAGGAAAAGTCCAGGGTTTTTGCTTCCTGGGATCCAGATCTGAACCCTGTCATTTCCAACTTTTCCACCTGAGAGAACCTCATCATTCTGCAAGATTCAATGAGCCCTGCTACTCACATCTCCTACCTTCCAAAACCTCTGTTTAAGAAGGGAGATCAGTTCAGAAAGTTTCATTTCTCCTCTGGCTGCATTATTTTGAGCTTTCTCTGACTTTTCCATCATGCCGCTGGGTCAGGTACCTTCTCAACTCTACTGTTTTCCTCTATGCTTCTCCCTTTCAGCATCCTTTTCTGTGGGGCTTTTGTTTGTTTGTTTGTTTGTTTTTTAACTCTATTGGATAAGCTCCTTGAGGGCAGGGGCTGTATTTCTATTTTCCTATTTGTATTCCCAGTGTTTAGCATGGTTTCTGACACGTAGTAGGTGCTTAATAAATATTTATTGACTGAGGGACTTAAGACTTCAGAGATGTCTTAAAGGTGTTGGAGGGGCCTATTGTTAAAATTTTCAATTTGACCATTTATACCTGTGGAATCAGCATGTTCTACAAATTGGAGTTTGATTGATTGTTTTGTTGATTGTCCTGTAGACTAAGAAACTGATGGGGAAAATGCTAAAGGAGATTGAGCTTAAATGTGTGTCTTATG